GAGCATTTTACCAAGCCACTTAATGATGTAAGCCTCTCTCCCTCCCCAGTAGAAAAGGTTTGGGGGGTTGTGTAACTAGGAAAATGGCATATGTCTACCAAACTGATTGTCAGGCTGAGGCTCAGATCCTTGGAAACAGAATTGGGATCCTGGCAGGAGAAAGATGTTGGATGCAGTTGGTGGTGGCAGCCCCCAACCTCACCAGCTTTTAGCCCCCTGAGTCCTTCCATAGGCCTTTTTTAGATGCAGGCCAGACAAAGGAGGCACAAGGACAACAGGTCACATAAGTGAGCACATGCTCACAAATGCCTATGACCTTGAGCACACACACTGAACCTGGGTGTTCATGACCTTGTCTACATACTAAAAACATAGGTTGCCAGAAGCCTTGATGAGGGAGCCTAACTATAGCCATCTTGGGCCTGCCCAACACTGATCATCTACTCACCTGGGCCTCTTGTTTATAAAGAACACTTGGATTACAACATAGTGTACCACCACTATGACTTTCATATTGATTGCTTGTCAACCAATTATCAATCAGCTTTCTTCATTGATCCCCTATAATAGATACACCAGTGTTTTCGCCATATATCTTCACTCTGCATATATGCCAGCCTGCCTTCAAACAGCCAGCATACATAACTTTATAGGGTTGCTGTCACTTACTCTGCCTCCATGCAAGGCAACCACAGAGAGCCTGCATAATTTATAATCCATCAGGGGCATCCCTTAACCAGAACTTATAAACTCCAGCTCCCTTGAACCTCAACTGGGATCATAATGAAGTATGTGATTTACACTGTTCTTAAAAAACTTCTCCACAGGATTAAACTTCAGTTTAACACCATGGCATCTGCCTTAATAGTGTTCCTTTTATATAGACTCTTCTTTCTTGTATTATACACACACACACATACACACACACACACACACTCTCACTCATGCACATTCTCTTTTCCCCACCATCTTCTGCCTATATCTCTCGACAACCCAAATAAATTATGTGCACTAAATTTTTGTCTCAGGTTTGCTTCTTGAAAGAGCCTTATTAACAAATCTCTCTATATCTGAATGCTGGCATACTGTTTTTCAGAGTTATCAGGAATATTGATATAACTGTCACCGCGAAGCTCTGCAGTTCACAAGAACAATTGCAGGTGCTTAAGCAGGCAAGCAGGAGACAAGACTATATTTTCTTTCTCTATTAAAGAACCATTTTTAAGATTAGCGCACTCCATGTTTATTTGAAATCTGCCCCTATAATGAAAAAACTTGTGCTAGAGAGAAAGGGAGGTGGGGAGAGGAAGCTAGAGAAAAGAGGGAGGGAGGCAGGGGAAAGAAGAAGAAGGGAAAAGAAAACAGACAATCATTATTTAGGAGAATCAGAAGTACATAAAAGAGATGGGCCTTGAACTTTGGGGAGATAAGCAAAATTGCTTTGAGGCAACAGGGTAAGAGGAGAGCTCCCTACATTCTGGAAAAAGGAGATACCAGAAGCAAATGAGAAGGGCTGTAAATCACTGGGTAATCAAAGCAAGAGTTATTCTGCAGGGCTCTGCAGAAAGCTATCAGAAGAAGAAAAGTCAGGTCAACCCTCCGTGACTGAAAAAGCTCAAAGCTGTTTCCTCTTGAAACTGAAGGGCCTCATCTTGATATTTCCAAGGGCATTCAGTAACTGGAGTGGCTGCTGTCCCCGGAGTTGGAAGGAGGGGGCTTTTGTTGGATGTTCTTGTACAAAGAGAGAGATAACTTGAACATATTTTTTTTCTTTTCACTGCAACCTGAAAAATTGAATTGTGATGATATAGATCAGGCAATTGTGCTGAACTCTTCATGAAATAAGAACCCAAGTGCTAAACTCTAATCTTGTTTCTCTTTGTTAGAAAAGGAAAAGAACCGCTACTTATGCTATCACCTCATTATGCAGAGGCAAGAAGACGGATTATTAGTCACTATATGCCCTGTGACCAAAATTCTGTCTGATGAAAGCAACCATTCTAAAATGAAGGAGGAAAGGCATCCATTTGTAGCCAGAGGATAGGAAATCCTAGCTGGGTATGATGGTGCATGTCTGTAATCCCAGCTACTCAGAAGGTTGAAGTAGGAGAATCATAAGTTTGAGGTCATTCCCAGCAATTTAGCAAGAACCTGTCTCAGAATAAAAAAGGATGGGGATATAACTCAGTGGTAGAGTGTTTGCCCAGCATGCACAAGGCCCTGGGTTCAAAGAAAATCCCTAGTGCTGAAGAAGGGTAGAGTAGAAGTTGTGAAAGGGTAAGACACTGGCTGGTTGTAGAAATAATATATAACAAAATAATAGATGGACTTTAGCCCTCAACCAAAAAAAGATTTAGGAAAAAATACCTGGAATCAAGTACAGGTGGATAACTTAAAAGCTATTGATATCTCATTATCCTGCAGAAAGTCAAGCATTTGAATCTGAGCAATAGTGATAATTTGATTAATATAGGAAATTTAAGCTAAAACATTTATTTGTGGACTTAAAGCCCAATACTACCATTGTCACCAACTGCAAAAGTTCTGAACTAGATGCAAGGGCTATAGGAAGTTCCCGCAGTGGTTCCAAAACCTAATGCATTCTGGGCTGATTACGAGTGAGCTCCTTTTGATAATACCACAATTTCCTTTCCTAAATATCATAGCTGAGGTTTTACTAGCCTCTACTTATTATGAGGCAGAGAGCTGATAGCCTACCATGAGTCTTGGAAATACCAAGAGGTTTTCTGTGATTAGGAATGTGGGCCAGTCAGCCCAAATCATTCAGCTCATCTATGGTGGCAGGCAGTGAATATTTTCTTAACAGCAATATTGCAAGCACAGTTGATTCCCTCCATAGACTGTCACTTCTCTATCTGAGATACTAAAAGATATCTGTCTTTTTCCCAAGAGTTAGCTGGAAGTGGTTTCACATAATGGTTGTGAACAATATATGCACAGGCATGCAAATGCAATGAAAACCATGCTATGTCATTAATAACTGTAGACACTGCCTGGTGACAGATGTGAAATGAATGAGTTCTGCACATTTCTTTGCTTAATCTTTGAAAACTGAATTTTCAACTTTTTATGAATAATATTAAAGTAAAATGTGTCTTCCATTTTAAACAATGTGGCATTTTACATAATGTTATACAAATTTGAATGTGCAAAGAATTGTATCTGTTTGTATAATTTTGAAGAATTTTTTACTTAATCAAATATTTTAAAATTCAAAGAGAAGTCCAAATGTCAAATTTCAATGTCAAAACTCTAATGATACTTTAGAGATCGAGTAGAGCACAAACCAAAAAGGACCAGTGACAAGGAGGATAGACAACCCTGAAGAGAAAGATGATTGCAAAAGAGATGAAGAGTGAACATAAATTCTTCTGAGAATTTCTAGGTTAATCAGATTGTCTCTGCTGTCCAAATTCATGTACTTTTTGCAGGATGATGGGACATTAACAACTTACAGTGTTGCTTATTTGATCCTTGTTGCTAAACTTGATTCTAGGTCTATTTTCCTTTCTTACTCCCTTTTGGATGAGAGCTGGAGCTCATCCATAGACAAATGAATAGAGATAGTGAATTTGGATAATCAGTAAGCAAAGATATGGTTGCGCCATTAGGAAATGGCCCAAACTAGGAAGATGCCAACATTCTCCTTTAATTCATGGTTACTGGATTACTGAGAATAGAACCCAGGGCCTCACACAAGCTAGGCAAGCACTATACCACTGAGCTATACCTCCCAGCCCTTCTTTAATTCAATTTGATATAAATACCTATTTCATAATCAGAATAGGACAATATTCCACTACTTTTCATGATCATTAATAAAATACTTTTTAATAGTATGTTTTGAAATTTTTTTTTCTGTATATTATGACGTTGTGATAGATTAAAAACCTTTTCTAGCTGGGAAGAGACTGCCCCTCCCAGAGTTTGCCAGTTCTTAGAGATAGCAAAGAACTCAGCCAGAAGCATGCCTCTGATATGCCAACTAAACCAATCCAGAGCTATACCTCCTCTATCTGACTCCTACACAACAGGAGACACTATTCTTCAACTATAAACATCCCAGGGCCAGGAACCACGCAATTAAGGACTACCCCTTTAGTTTAGAGCCTGCCCAAATTATTCAACCCTAAACTGTTGGCCCAGCTCTGCCTTTGCCTTTCCTGAGAAACCCTTTCTAAAATTTATGGGCTAGTGCTTTCCCCTGGTCCTGTATTCTGCCTCCTGACCTCCTTACCATCCTATGTGTTTCCCATGTGGCCCTACGTGGGGTTCCATGCCTCCTTTACTTAAGACCTGTGGGAATGATAAAATTTGTTTTCCTGAGCCTGTTCTATGTCCCCTCTTATGGGTACACATGCATGACCATCTAAAAAATGGCCTAGAACTTGCAATCCTCCTGCCTCAGCCTCCTGAAACCCTGGAATTACAGGCATGCACCACTCTACAAACCACTTTTCATAGGATCTGCTAATACATTCTGAGAATCTATGGTATTCAACCAAAGGAGTCAACCATTAATCGAAGTGTTTTCAAAGGAGAGGGTCATTTATTAACTTTACAACTATACTTATGGATCAATAGATAAAATATGTGAACATGCTATTTTTCTGTTACTAACAAACTACCACAAATTTAGTAGCCTAAAATAAGATATATTTGTTATCTCAGTTTCTATTGTTCAAGAGTCCAGGCACAGCTTGCATCTGTTCAGGACCAAACAAGGCTGCAATCGAGGTATCACCCGAGCATGTTCCGATCTGGCATCTCAATTAAGGCAGAATTCATTTGAATCAGATAGTGGCAGAATTCCTTTACCTACCGTTGTAGAACTGAGGGCATTGGCTTCTTGGTGGCAGTTAACTGGGGAACACCCTCAACTCCTGGACATGGCCTGCAGTTTCCTTGCCTATTTTATTCAGTTTTCTGTTGCTGTGACAAAATAACTGAGAAATCAGAGGAGATTTGTGGTTCACTGTTTCAAAGATTTTATTCCATGGTCACTGGGCTCCACAGTTTCTGGGCCTGTGGTGTATAGAACATCATGGCTAGGAGGTTGTGCTGGAGCAAAGCTGCTCAACTCATGGCAGCTAGGAGGGAGGGAGGGAGGGAGGGAGGGAGAGAGAGAGAGAAAGTCAGTCCAGGGACACAATAAGCTCTTTGAAGGCATGTTACCAGTGACCTTCTCCTAAAATTTTCACCACTCCCCATAGTGCCACTAGCTGGGACCAAGTCGTCAGCACATGAACCTTTGGGGAACACTCTACATCCTTTCCCATAGGGCCATTTACTTCGTCATACTGGTAGGGAGAGTCTCCAGAGCAACTCTAGCATGACGGAGTCTCTCTTATGGAATATAATATAATCATGAGATTGATATCCCATTCTGTATCATATTCTACAGTTCTATAGTTTGTCAGAAGCAAACCATAAGTCTCCTTGTCACTCAAAGAAGGAGGTTTACATAAAGGTGTGAACACCAGGAGCAGAAATCATGGAGGATTACCACAGAATTTGTTCTCCACAGTTAGTATTCAATTATTAAGTGAAGATCTGATGAGAAAATGCATATTCCTCTCAGGTGTCTCCTCTCATGGAGACACCAAGCACCTGATTTATGGCCAGGGCCCCCAAACAGCAATGTCTGTTCTCTCATCTCCCTTAGGTCTTTGTGGTCTGTATCTTCACAGTTTTACTTAGAAAGATAGCCCACTTCTCAGGCATCAGTATCTGCAAATGCAGTAGCAACAGCAACCAAATCATTCTCTGGAGGGGATCTCAGCAGACACCAGGTCACCTCAGAGAAGGACCAAAGAAGCCTCCTTCTCTCTGCCTTTGAAGAGTGCATATGTAGGACAGTCCTTTCCATTAAACCTAAACTTTGTCTTTTTGGTGTATTTTTAGAGATGAGGTCTCTTTGTTGCCCAGGCTGGCCTCAAACTCCTGAGTCAAAGCAATCCTCCTGCCTCAACCCTCAGAGAGTAGCTGGGACTCCATGCATGTGCCCATCAATGCAATCGGGCAACCAGCTTAAACTCTTTTGTTTTGGTCTGAGCAGGAAGCAAAACAATCAAACAGCTAACTGGGATTAAGTCATCCATTGGCTTGTGATTCAGAGACACCTGACATCAGTTTCACTTTATTTTTACCTTGTTTTTCTCCCAAATTTGTTTCTGATCTTCTTCTGCAATTTTCCATATAGCCTCATGACTAGCTTTGCATGGATCAGGTTCCAGCCTTGATTTATACTTGAAAACATCCTCAAGTGCTACGTAAACCAACAATTAGATTGGGTGGGAGAAGACTGTGGCCCTAGCGATATTGAGCTGCTGATGAAATAGACCTGGCTGGCTGAAAAGGCCTGAGATTTCTCATATAATGTCTTCATTAGGTGGGTTGTGCTTCAGTGCTCTGAAATAATGGCACTTTAATCTGAGGTCCACCCATCACCATCTGAAGAGAGGGAAAAAAAACTCCAAGGATATAAAATGCTGAGGAAAGGTGAGAGTACCGCCTCATTATCCATAAAATAAGTTTCATTTCAACACTAAAATAGAATTCTTTCTCCTTATGGTCCTAAGAGTTATTCAGTCTTATGCATTCAAACTTTAACTTCATGGCTTACCATGAGAAAAAAAATCTCATTTTTGCTTTAACATTTGGTTTTTGTGAAGCTGTTTTCTCTGTAAATAATGAATTTTCTTACTCCTTCTGAAATGTACTTCTCATCTGTCATGGAGATCCAGTGATGTCCTGGTGTTTGGCAAAGGGAGAAGCATGGACAGCAGCAGAATTTAGCCCAGGATATATTAGTTAAATTATGAACAGGAAACATCCTGGACAATGTAATGGATCAGAAATGGGATAATTAGAAATTATTACAAACAAACTTCCCCCTTTTATTCTGGAGCACAATAAGTCCTTACCCTTTCCATTTAATGGGTCTCCTCATCAGGGTTTAAAGCTCTGTCTATACAAACTATGCAAACAAGTCCATATGCTTAACCTCAACGAGTCTCAATTACCCCATCTATCAAATGGGGCTATAATAGCATCCACTGGATTGTGTTGTCATGATTAAATTGACACTACAGCCAAGTACAGTCCTACACTGTGCTAAGCCTATGATAGGCCTCTTGTCTTTCCTTAATTCCACCTTTATTACCTTTAGATACCTCATCTCCCCCCACAGCTTTAGCAATCATTGCATCTGGATAATACCCATGTTAAAATATGCAAACTTGGCATCTCACCTGGTCTCCACTCTAGCATCTTTAACTCCATGGTGAGCATTCTCTTTGGCCATTCAACTTCCCCCTATCATCAGTGTATCTGAAATCAATCTTATTCCTCTTGGGAAAAAAAAAATCTCCAAAAGCAGTTCATAGTTCTTCAAAAAAGTTAATTCTGGAGTTGCCATATGACCCAGCAATTCCAGCTGCAGGTATATACCCAAGAGTAATAAAACTATGTCTACACAAAAGCTTATACATTAATATTTATTATTTTAATATTTATTATTTTAGCATTAGTCATAATAGACAAAAACAGAAACAACAGCAGGGTCCATCAACTGATGAATAGATAAATAAAATGTGGTGTGTCCATATAATAGAATGATATGCAGTCACATAAAGGAATATAATTCTGATACAGGCTACCACATGGATACCTCATCTCCATCTTGGAAACATGCTAAATGAAAGAAACCAGAGACAAAGTCCAGGTATTGTAGGATGCAATTTACATGAAATATCCAGAATAAGCAGATCCACAGAGACAGAGGTAGATTAGTATTTGCCAGGAGAAGGAGAATGGAGGAATCAGAATGTGACAGCTAATGAGCAGAGGGTTCTTTTTGAATAATGGAAATGTTCTGGAATTAGATAATGCTGATAGTTGTACAATACTATGAATACACTATAAGTCACTGAAATATATACTTACAAAGGCCAAAATGAAGAATCTTATGTCATGTGGATTTATCTTAATTTAAAAAAAGAAAAGGCAACCTCATAAATGGGAGTGCTACTATCCAGTGGAAGTAAGGGGAAATGACTCAGAGATGCAGAAGGGGATTATTGATCTCCAGCAAACCAAGACTTTCATTAATACTACTAGAGGAAGTTCCTGAGAAGGTATCACTAAATCCACTTCCAAAAAGTATTCAAAATGTTTCTTCATTTTTCATTTTCTTTTTTTCTTTTGGTACCAGGGATTGAAGCTGGGGATATTAACCACTGAGCCACATCCCTAGACATTTTTTATATTTTATTTAGAGATAGGGTCTTGCTAAGTTGCTGGACTTTGCTAAGTTGCTGAGGCTTCCTTTGAATTTATAATCCTTCTGTCTAAGCCACTGGGATTACAGGCATGCACCACCATGCCTGGCAAATATTTAAAATCTGATTCCTAAGGCTCAACCAAATGGATCATTATGCAGCTTTGCTAGAATATATTCAAATGCAGACCAAAGACCAAAAAAGGAGGTGGAGATTGGAGGGTAGAAACAGTTAAAGAGAGAACTTGAAGCGGAAAAGAAATTTCTGAGGGGATACATTTATTATATTCTTGATTGCCAGGTAAAACTGAAAGGGTAATAAATCATCTACTCCAACTACATTTAATATTTCCAATTTATTTTCTGTTTATGTCGTTCTCTTCCTTCCTCTTTAATCAAAAGTTTGATGTCAAGGTAAATAGGAATTCTGGACTTTACAACATCCGAAAAATAAAGCATCATCTAGTTCTAAGAGGACTTGGCCTGAAGTCAGTTTCTTTGAAGAGGCCTGTCAAATGACCTGATTAAAGGTGATGAGACTCTTTCAGGGAGTTTTCAAGACATGCTATACTTCATCAAAATTTTATTAATCTTCTGGTTTTGGAAAAGTTCCCATAGAAAAGACCTGGGAGGAAAACATTCCCAAATCACTCCCTCAGACTGTGAAATAGAGCTTAATAGCTACTAACTGAAGGAGTCCATGTGTTCCCACAGATGGCTGTTCAAAAATGAATCATGCTTATCAATTTGAGAAAACAGAAAGAAAAGAACAAGGAGTATAGAACTTTATGATTTAGCCAGGCCTTATTCAGGTTCTCCTAAATGACCAAAGTCAAATAATCTGAAGTTAGTCAGTCCTTCCCAACTCGTTTTCTTCCCAACCTCATTTTGTATATCAAAATGTTTCCAAAAGGACAGACACTGTCTTCTGATCCTCTGTGGTACATTATATCATCTGAAAATGATTGAGGAAATAATATGTGCTCTACCTGGTATCTTAATTTTCTAAGGCTGCTATAAACAACAGAAATTTACCATCTCTGAAAAAAGGAAGAGATGAGTTGAGGAAGGAAGAGGAGATCTGAGGGAAGGAAGAAGAAATAAAGGTAGAGAGAGGAGGAGGCAGGGAGGGAGAGAGGAAGGAAGGAAGGAAGAAAATTAAAATCATTATCTCACCATTTTGGAGGATGGAAGTCTGACATCAAGGTGTCAGTGGGATTGGTTCCCTCTGAGGGACTCTATCCTTGGCTTTAAAGATGGCCATCTTGTCCACAGGTCTCATCACATTATTTCCCCTTTATTTGTTTTGGTGTACCAATCCCCCTCCATCTTATTTTAACATGATTACCTCTGTAAAGACCCATCCACATATGAGGTCAATTTCTGAGGTATGGAATGTCAGGGCTCCAACATACATTTTTGGAGGAGACAAAATTCAACCTATAACACTGTTCTGTGCAACTTACTGAAGGCTGAGGGAGTTACCTTTTAACATCAAGGAGACTCTGGACTTAGAGGGATTTTGACCAGGAAGGACTGGGACCAGGGGTCATAGAATGGTTCAGGAAGAAGTATGTGCTCAGAAGTAAAAGCATGTGTGGAATCACCAGGAGTCCTGAGGACAAAGCAGCAATCGGATGACCTAGAATCGGGACCAATAAAACCATGTATAGCCATTATCATAGCAATACTCATCATATTCATCAAAACTAAAACTTCCTAAATACCATCCACAGTCTAATGCTATACAAAAAGGGTTAACTCTACAGGCCTGGATTACTCAAAGCCTGCCCGTTCCCAAGGTCTTCAGCAATGGCCCTCGGCCTGGTTCATGGGGCGAGACTTCTGATTTTTTAATTATCCTACCTAAAACGAGTGTCTTTGTGTCCCTAAAGCCTGGAGCTATGCCAGCTAGTTTACACTAGAAATACAATTTATGGCAAATGCATTTTTGTATGCCTGAGACTTTGGGACACACTGTATTGTTTTGACCTATGAGGGGACTAAGGATTGAATGGTAAAGGTCAATCATATGGACACTGTATGCCTGTGTGGCTGGCCTGCAATAAATATCCTGGGCACCAGAGCTCAGATGGTCTTCCGTGGTGGGCAACACATTGCATGTGTTGTCACATATCAATGCTGTGAATTAAGTACTGTCTGTGTGACTCTACCGGGAGAAGACAACTAGAAGTTTAGGCCTCATTTCCCTTATTCACCTCAGCCCTATTCATCTTTTCCTGCTGACTTTAATCTGCATCCTTTTACAGAACTAAACTATAACCATGAGTAGTTTTTCTGAGTTCTCTGAGAATTTACAACCTGAGAGTGATCTTGAAGACTCCTAACAAAAATAATAAACAGACTATGTTTTATTATAATAGTAGAAATGGATAAGCTACAACTACAGAAAACAGCATGGATAAATCTCACATAGTGTTGGACGTAACATCAAAAATGAGTGGTATGGTCTGGGGTGGTAGCTCAGTGGTGGAGTGCTTGCCTTGTATGTGATCCTCATCACCACATAAAAATGAATAAATAAAATAAGGGTATTATGTCCATCTACAACCACAAATATTTTTTTAAAAAATGAGTGGTGTGCTGGGCACCGTGGTGCATGCCTGTAATCCCAGGGGCTTGGGAGGCTGAGGCAGGAAGATTGAGAGTTCAAAGCCAGCATCAGCAAAAGTGAGGTGCCAAGCAATTCAGTGAGTTGTCTGAATAAAATACAAAATAGGAATGTGTCTCAGTGGTCGAGTGCCCCTTAGTTCAATCCCTGGTACCAAAAAAAAAGTAGTATGATTCAATTTTTATAAAGTTAAAAAAATAGGCATAACTAGTCTTTTGTTTGTTTTTTGTTTTGTTTTTGGTAGAGAGTACTAGAAATTGAACCTAGGGGTGCTTTACCACTGAGTTACATCCCCAGCATTTTTATTTTGAGACAGGGCCTTGATAAGGTTCTGAAGCTAGCCTTAAACTTGTGATCCTCCTACCTCAGCCTCCTGAGTTGCCTGGATTATAGGCATGTGCCACCACACCTGGCTGACATAACTAATCTATGGTGTTAGGAGTCAGGATTATAACTACTCTGGAATGGTAGATGGTAGTGACTGGAAGGAAATAAGGAAATTTCTAGGACATTGGCAATATTCTTTTTCTCAATTTGAGCACTGGTTATAAATGTGTTGTTGGTGAAAATATCTTTAATAAAAACTCATCATTATGTATATGCTTTCTGTATATATATTTCATACTTCAATAATACAAAATCCAAAGGCCATCGATAAAATAGAGTATTTCTAGAAAAACTGGGCAAACAGGTTGGTATACTACACAGCCAGTAAGGAGTCCAAATCTCACTAAGTGAAAGATCTGATAAAGACTCCATTGCTGCTCTACTGACTACCAGATGGCCATCTGACTGGCCATCATTGCTATGGCCACTAGGAATGCTGCCTCTAAAGAATGGATGTAGATGTTCTCACTGCTGCTGCTGTATCCTGTCCCTACAGTGAACTCAGCATAGTCTCTGCCTCTTTCCTCATTTGTTTCCTCTTTAAAGTCTAGAACAAGTATGGGTATTAATAATGGTCATGGGCTAGAGGTAGGTCATGAGCTTTCATTATGATAGTAAGGATGAGAGAAAAAATAAGAGTCTGACATTTTGGGCTTCTATGATGAGAGACAGGCTCCACCTCATTGGGAGAAATTACAGATACTAGGTGATCAAAAATGAGAATTGGGGTTGGGGTTGTGGCTCAGTGGTAGAGCACTTGCCTGACATATGTAAACTCAATCCTCAGCATCACATAAAAATAAATAAATACAATAAAGATATTTTTTAAAATGAGAATTATCCACTAAAAACATTCTGTATCTAAAAATCTAAGCCAGATTCACAAAATGTTTACTGAGACCCAAGTATACATCAAGCACTAAATCAGAGGCATTTACTGTATATAAAAATACCTGATTCTCACAACTGCTTTGTAAAAATGAAAAATGGATAGACCCCAGGTAGACCCTAGAAATCTCCTCAAGTTCTCCCTTCATTCATTCAGCTGAGTATTGATCTATGTGTACATGACCAACCAACAAAAACAGCCCAAGGATTAGAGAAAAATAGTTGAGGCTCACACAGATCTGTAATAACTAGGTGGGAAAAACTCATAATGCATAGGTGTTGGGTAGAAAACTCTTGGAGGTCTTCTCATAGTAGCAGGGAATAATTGGCTGTAGTTGAACACAGCTATGTGCCGCCCTAATAAAGCATAAGAGCAAGACCCCCAAAGATCAAACTATATCTAGATATAGAAATATCAAGCTATATTTAAGAATAAAACTTAAAGAGTATTTATAGGAAGAACTAGGAATATAACTCAGTGGTAGACAGCCTAGGTTCCATACCTTATGTGGGTATGTGTGTGTGTGTGTGTGTGTGTACATATGTTAAATATATATATTTTCATTGAAATACAAAAATATCAAGGTAAAATAAGCAAGAAAACATGACCCATAATGAGAATATTCGTTCTATTGAAACTAACCCAGAATTAACATGGATGTTATAATTAGAAAATAACATTAAAACATCTATTGTACTATACCCCATAAGTTCAAAATATTAAGTAGAGACATGAGAAGTTGAATAAAATAAATACAAGTAGAACTTCTAGAGGTAAAAACAAAATGACTGAGATGAAAGGGACACAGGATGGGATTAATGGTAAGTTAGACAAGGCTGATGATTAGTGAATTGAAAATGTTACAACAGACAGCATACAAAATGAAACACAGAGAGAAAAAAATACAAAGATCGGTGAGCTGTGGGAAAACTTCAAGTGGCATGATACACATTTACCAGGAACTCCAAAAGAGGAAGACAAAAGAGATGGTTGAATAAATAATGGCCCTCAATTTTCCATACCCAATGAAAACTAAAGCCCACAGATCCAAGCTTGATGAATAACAATCATGAGAAGCATGAAATAAAAGATGCCAAGATGAATTAATCAAAATGTTCAAAAGCAGTGACGAAGAGAAAAATCTTAGATGATTTAAGGTGGTGGGATAGTTTTTCAGAGTGACTGGACCAATCTGGGACAGTGTCCAGGAAATACATTTTTATGGTATTATCTTTTTTAGATATTTTTTAGAGCCATATGCAATCTAGAAAGATTAGATTAGAAGAGAAATAATTGGGAAGAAAGGAACAAGTTAGGAGGGTTTTACAGTAACGCAGTGAATCTGGTGGACCAAAACTAAGGTTGTAAAGTAGCAACGGAAAATAGTAGAAATCTAAGAATTGAAATTGACAGCACTTAAAGGAGACTGTCCATAAAGGTAAAAAATAGAACTTACTGGGTACTGGTAGATAGTTTCAAAATTGGGAGAAGATAATGATTTAATTTGTGCCTGCTAAGTCTGGGGAACATATAGTTTCTCCATTTAAACTTGGGAAGGATGATTGACATACAGATATAGGTTTGGCAGTCACTAACATATAAATTGAATGTCCCTGAATCTTCTAGCCTTCTTATAACATCATTACCTTTATCATACCCAAGTAAAATCACCTGAATTTCAATTCCATGCATGTAAATTCAAGAAATCTGGGCCCACAAGATATTCCAATGAAAAGTGAGGAGAGAGGCTAGGACCCAGACATCTGAGGAGAGGAGCCCTGGCCAGTTGCTATCCTTGTTAGGTAGTAGTGAAATGTGAACAAATAACATAGTAGGGTCATGGGTTTCTTTGAATTGCCTTTAGAGAGTAATCTAGTAACTAGTAGAACAATAACAGGTGTACTAACCCTGAGACTAAACATGGAAACAAAGGGAACCAATTAAGAAATACGTCAAGAAAAAAAAAATCAACAGGCTAACTCCTGACAGTGTGTACTGAGGTCATTGTAAAGTAAGGATTTATGGTCACAGGTTTCTCAATGTATTTCAGAAGAAACATTTCATTAATAGCACTAAGATGAAGTTTACTGGGTCATTGACTCCAGCACCCACATTAACATAAGATAGACTTGTAGATGAAGCCTCCCCCCCCACCCCCGAATGACATGGTTGCCATAAAGTTACAGAAAGGACCAACTAGGATCAAAACCCTCCCTCCTGATGGGGAAAGAGGAGTTAACCATCTAATCAGTAAAGACTGCAGAAGGTGGAACCCAGTTCTGGTAAATATCAAACAGTAATAAACCTGAAAGTAACATTTCTTCTTCTGCTATTCTCTGCTCAGAGACAACCCACTCCATCGTGAGTGTGTTCTTTGCTTGAGCCTTACTCCACTTGCTTGACTTCTTATGTCTGACCTTCAATTTTCTTTGGTTGGGACACAAGAAACAAGGTTTGGAGTTTTAGCTCCTCACTCTCATGTGACACCTTTGTCTATGGACTCAGAAAAGGATCCTGGGGGTTTGGATCCAGACTTCTGAGGAAAAGCCATCTTAGTACCAGTGAGAGGTAGCAACTGTGCTGATTTTGGGAGTGGTGAAAAACTACAAACTTGATTCAACCTCTACCACTGAAGTACATACACTGCTGCTGCTAGAGTACAGGAACTGGGGTGAAGAAGTGTTGCAGGAGTGATTCTTGAGAACAGGAGGCAAGCCTGAAATGAAGAGGAGCAGGTACCTTCTTATTCCTTCGTGCATGCAGTTACTTGCCACTGGCAAAGCCTAATGGGAAGCAGCAGGCAAAACAGAAAAGCAGTTTATAGAATCCCAGCATCACTGAGTATAGAATGATGAGTTTGGAGACAGTAACTGACATACATCATTTGGGAAGGCAGGTGGCCAGGTACCTTATTGTTCTCTCTTATTATTCTCATCAAGAATTGTGGTTCCAAGGAATGATTGTCTTTTTTCCCACATTATAAAAATTGGTGAATTACATTTACATAATGATGGGGTTTGTTGCTTCGTATTCATATATGCACAAAATGTGACAATATATTTTGGCCAATATGGCTCCCTAGCACTTCCTCCATCCCTCCCCACCTCCTACCTCCTGGTCCTATACCTTACCTGATATCCCTTTGATATTCATTAGAACTATCCCCATTTTTCTTTTCCTTTTCCTCTCTAGCTTTTGCATATGAGAGGAAACATATATCCCTTGACCTTCCAAGTTTGACATATTTCTTTTAACATAATGGTCTCTAGTTCCATCCATTTTCCTGAAAATGACAATTTTATTTTTCTTCATGGCTGAATAAAATTACATTGTGTATATGTGCACTATATTTTCTTTATCCATTCATCCATCAATAAACAACTAGGCTGGTTCCATAGTTTTGCTATTGTGAATTGTGCTACTATAAACATAGATATGCATGTATCACTCTAGTATGATGATTTCAGTTCTTTAGGATAAATACTGAGGAGTGGTATGGTTAGATCATATGGTGGTTCCATGCCTAGTCTTTTGAGGAGCCTCCATATTGATTTCCAATTGTATTAATTTAAAATGCCACCAACAGTGTAGAACTGTTCCTGCTTTTCCACATCCTCTCCAGCATTTATTAGTATTATTTGTGTTCCTGATAACTGCCATTCTGACTGGTGCAAGATCTCAGTATAGATTTGCCTAATTGTTAATGATGTTGAAAGTTTTTTTTATATATAAGGAATGGTTGTCTTAAGTCTTGCTTAGTGGTCACATGGAGCCGATTGTACTTCCCAAAGGAAAGGTAAAGCAGCCTGATTTCTGTCATAGGTCATCTCTCTTCTTCTAGGGACAAGATAAACTCTGTGTTTTTGAGGGGAGAGAGCAGGAGAGATAACTTAAGCTTGGACAAAAAATGAACTTAGTGTCCTGTAAATTCTTTTAAAATGTTGCCATGGTTTCAATATGTTTCTCTGAAACCCAGGTTGAAATTTGATTGCCATTGTGGCAGTGTTGAGAGATGATTAAGTCATTTAGAAGAATTGATGCCTTTCTTGCATAAGGATTGTCACTCTGAGGACTGGAGTGGTTATTGGCAGAGCAGTTGTTATAAAGCAAGTCCACCCTGTTTGCCTCTTTCCACATTTGCTTGCTTGCCCTTCCACTTTCCCCCATGAGATGAAACAGCACACAGCCCTCACTAAAAGCTGTGGTCATTTACTTGGGTTTCCCAGCCGCCAGAACCCTGAGCCAAAATAAGCTTCCTTCTGATACAAATTATCCAGTCTCAGGTACTGTTATTGTAATAGAAAACAGACTAAGACAAATGTGTTCTTAAGCTCTTACATGTTTAAAATTAGCAAAATGAAATTCTTCATTCTTCAGATGTTCTAGCCAACTGGATGCATAATAAACTTCAAATGCTAGTCTCTGCATGACAACTGCCTCCATCAATAGCAAGAAATCCAACCACAGAAGGGAGGAAACTCTGGTTATGCTAGATGCCAAGTAAAGGCACCTGTTACAAGGCAGCCTCTTTGCAAAACAAAAGAAGCAATCTCCTCATAAAGACAGAAGTATGAAAAACAATGCAGATGGACATTGAAAGTTAAGCACCTGTTAAGGAGTGTGTGTGGCAGGGGGTGGCAAAACAGTTTTTACATGAGATATGTCTGGTAGACAGTCATAAAAACACATAGGGAAAGATCCTTGGGAGGAAGAAAACCTTGACATGCTCTCGAAAAGCAGACTTGTATATGAATTTACAGCAACTTAAATGAAAGGGACTCAACCCGTGCTGTCATTTTGAGCTACTTTTCCAATTCTGGAGGACAGTGGTGATAATAGCATTTTTGTTGCTCTACCCACCTTTTCAACCTTATATTCTTCTTGAGCTTGACAAACCCAGAGTTTAAAACATTGCTTTCATCGGGGAGCATCTCAGAATCACAGGATGTCAGATCTAGACAGGACCTTGGAGCAAGAGAAATCATAAAGAGCTAAAAGGAATTCTGTAGCAATAAAAAATTTATAACTATAAACAAAGGCCTCTGGGGAGATAGAGTTATATGTGAGTGTCTGAAAACTAATATTAAAGAAGGAAAGATATGGTTTGGAATAGTTCCAGGAAATAACTCAGGAAATTTTTAAAACCAGGCAACTGTGAATTAGAGTGAGAATTCCATTTTAATGCTGAAGATAGAAAATAAGGGCTACTTTATTTGTTTTGATGAAATGTGTCATACCATTAAATAATACAAGGACATTTCCTCCAGGAAATTTAAGCATATCATAAATAAATTCTGACTAGATAATATTATTATTGTTCAATTTTTTAATAAAGATGTAGGTTCCTCACATATAGGAGAGCTGGATGAATTTAGGTAGAAACAGGTATTATCCTAGTCATACTTACTGAATCTAACAATGGGCTATCATCACCATCAAGAGGAGCCTGCCCTCATCCCAGCAACTGGAGAAACTGAGGCAGGATTATAAGTTTGATGTCACCCTGGGTAACTTAGAGAGACCCGGTCTTAAAAAAAAAAAAAAAAAAAAAGTAAAATAAAAAGGGCTGGGGATGTAATTCAGTGGTAGAGCACCCCTGGGTTCAATCCCCAGTACCAAACAACAACAAAAAACAGCCTGCCCTATATGTTTCCATCCTAATTCAACTTGATCCACCAAATCATATCCACTGTTATACATTATACTGTCCATAAGGAAAGCACCACATAAATTCATTAGTGATCACGAAGAATCAGCATTTATTGACTACCTGTGTGCTCATTAGTCTCTTTCACAAAGTTATTCTATTTGTTTCTTTAAATGAAAACCTTTTGTGGTCATAATTTGGCACACTGAGAAATAATAGCATCAAGTAAACAGCAATAATGGACCTTGGTTGAGGTCAGAAGCCCAGGAATGCACAGGAAGGAAAAAGTGATAGTCATTATTTGAAAGTACAGGCTCTATGTGTCATGTCGATAAGGAAAAAACCTTGGCCATACAGCTGTTACTCCAGCCACAGAAATATAGACCTAAAATAGTTCACTAGTGACAAGGACTTTTAAATAGAAAAGATGACATCACAAAAATTGGCTGCTATGCTTTTTGGCTTAGTTTGTTTATTTATTTATTTATCTATTTATTTATTGTGTGTGTGTGTGTGTGTGTGTGTGTACACATATTAGGTACCTACTGTGCACCAGGCATTCTGCTTAGAGATAGAAAGGGATACAAAATAACTATGGAGGCAATATTTTGTAATGCTTAGACATTTGGAATTTGTGTCAAATAGGACCAGGTTGGTAACTTAAGAATGTTATTTACTAACTATGTGCTGTCAGACAAATAACTTGTCTTCTCTGTCTTATTTCTGTGTTACAGTATAGTTGTGAGTTGGTTCAAGCTCAGCTCACAATAAAATGTTTGACATACAGTAAGTCCTTGTCAAATGATTGTTCATAATATCAAATCTGAATATTTAATAATAATTTAAATAATTATTTGAGCCCTGGGAGCTTACAATCTAGTTTGAGGAAGTTGACATAGCTCTTTAAAAAAAAAAAACAGATTTTAAAACATTTTTCCAGGAATAATGAGGCACACCTCTTTATAAAGTAAACAGTGTTGTTATAGAAGCTCAGATTAAAAAAAAAAAAGTAGGAAGTATTTGTTTCTAGCAGGAGAGAGAAGAAACCGGCAAAAGTTTTACAAAGGATATAACACCTGAACCATTAAGAAGAGTTAATTTCTAAGTAGTAGATTGTCATCTAAGTACTTTATAAGTTTGTACCTGTGATGATAACACAGGAGTGGACAAACAGAGCATCTGAAAACAGATCTAAATTGTTATGGGCTGAACATGTCCTCACAAAATTCATATGAAGGCAGAGCCTATGTTCCAGTGGAGACCAAAAAAAAAAAAAGACTAAAAAAATACATAGAGAAATAGCAAACTTTTTGATGAATGTTCTTGGGGAAACTCATTTAACAGGACATTAAAATTGAAATTTCAACTGAGGCTATGAGATCTTATTGATTTTATATTCAAAAGGAGATACTGAGCTCTTGCTAATCAGAATGGAGTATACTGAACATTCACATCACTATGGAACTTTTTAGAAATGAAGAACCTCGGGCTATACCCCAGACCTACCAGGTGAGCATATACACATGAAAGATTGAGAAGAACTATACTTCTTATCAGAGCCATCTGACAATTTCAAAGTTTTAACTGAAATTGTGTTTTACAACTCAAATATCTTATCCCATTGTGTTAGCTCTTCTTCGCTGTGCCAAAATACCTACAAAAATAAACTTAAAGAAAGAAAGATTTATTTTGGCTCATGTTTTCAGAGGTTTCAGACTATAGAGAGCTGGCTCCATGTTTATGGGTAAGACAGCACAACATGGTGCAAGGGCAAGACAGAGCACAACTACTCACCTTATGGCAGCCAGAAAGGGTGGCAGGGTGGGGGGTGTGTGGAAATGAAGCAGCTGGGGACAAGATATAGTCCCAAAAGGCACACCCCAAGAGCCTACTCCCTTCAACTAAGTCCCATTTCCTACAGTTTCTACCATCTCCCAATGATCCATGCAGCTGTGAACCACAATGGAATGATCAGAGTCCTCATGATCCAATCACTTCCTAAAAGCCCACCTCTGAACATTGCTACATTGAAGACTCTCCTTTTGGAGGTGGGTCAAAGGCATTTACTTCTAGGCCTTAGGTATGGAGCCTGGGGTAGAAATATTGTCCTGGGGTCATTGTAAAAGGAATTCTGCCCAAGAGGACAGTCTGCCAGGTGAGGAACTCACAGTGAAGGTAGTGAGTTGTGAGAGGTGTAGGATTGAAAGAGGAGCCTGTGAGTCAGTTGCAGAGCCTCTGAAGAATGTATGAATAGGTATACACCTGGGAGGACAGTTTGTGACTGCAATATGGAGGGCCAGGGAGCATTAAGTTAAATGGTATCATACAGCGGCTCTGACCCAGAAAACAGATTTGGAGTTCAGCAGGTAGAAGGAAGATGCAAGACACAATTAGGATCACAGACATGCTCTATTCAGTGGTGGCCACAGCCTCTGTCTCCAGCTTCAACTTCAGCCCCCAGCAGTTCCATTTTAGCCCTCATTTTGCCCCCGTTTTGCCCATTTGAGTCTTTTCCATAGGCCCTTTTTATATGCAGATCAAAGAAGGCACAACTGCCAATAGGTTAGGAAAGTGGGGGTGCATTCTCACAAGTTAATGTTTATGACTTTGAGTTTATGTGCTGAATCAGTGTTTCTAGCCTTGACTAACCATAAAATAGTCAGTCGGTTCCCAGCCCTGGCTACATAACCTAGGTGAGGGAGCCTAAATATAGCCATTTGGGGGCCTGCCCCAACAAATGGCATAAGCCTGGAGGATGCTTTGAACCTCAAGAATCTTAGGACCTCATTTTAGGAAAGATAACCAAACAGAGGACAATAGCAGTGACAGGTATACAGGTTTAGGACACCAGAACAAGAATAGGGAAGGAAATTGTGACACAGTCTAGCAACTGGCCAGCCCAGCATTGCTTGAAACTATGTAAGAGACATATCCCTTAAACGTCTGGATGGCAGTTTGCTACAAGAAGGAGTTCCTGCATAGACAGATGAAGACACAAATCAGTAAAATTTGGGTTAATATAACCAGTCTGGATTCATAGACCAACAAAGACCTCAGGAAACTTAAGATAGTGGGCCTCAAATTCTCATGTGATATGAAACATCTGAGGATCTTGTTAAAATTCAGATTCTGTAGATCTGGAATGATGCCTGATATCTTGCATTTCTTTCAATTTTTTTTTAGTTGTAGATGGACACAATATCTTTATTTTTACTTATTTTTATGTGGTGCATGAGGATTGAACCCAGGACCTCACGTGTGGGAGGCGTGTGCTCTACCACTGAGCTACAGACCCAGCCCAGAAACAGCCTGCCTTTCTAACAAGCTCCCAGGAGCAGGGGATGTTGATGTTGCTGGTCTGTTGACCACAGGAATAATATCATGGTTTCTGGGAACACCTGACCAGTCTTTTGGGGGAAGCCAACACTCCTCCTTCTAGGCATTAATAAATGAATAAATAATCTCATATACTTCTAATTTTGGTATTCAAGATTTAGTAGTAAAGACAAATTTATATTCTGGCAGTTATTACACATATTATTATACCTATGTACACTCTGGGTTGTGCTGATATTAATGCTCCTTGATAATCCAGCTGAAGTAGGATAAATACCTTTTGCACGTGTAGAGTAATTGCCTTTTGTATTTAAAAAATTTCATGGATAATAGTTTAGAGGAATATGACTTTTAAGCTTTGATGTAACAAGCAATTTCTCTATCCTGACTTGCAGGCACATTATCTTTCTTTTAGATGTAATTACCTGCCACCTCCTTCAGACTCCCCCACCCCCACCTATCGTGCTTGCAGGAAGTGGTAATGAGAATTGGGTGAGTTACCCAGGTGAACACTGCAGGCCTGGGCCTTTCCACCAGAAACCAAGACAAGCGTTTGAAGATCATCTGAGTCACCTGTTTGTTATCTGGTCATTTACCCAGGCAAATGGAGTCAAAGAAATAGGGAAAGAGGATAGGGATTACTTCTCTAATCTCAAGGATCCTCACCTGCTGAGGTAGCCTAGCCCAGTAACATTTCTGCTTCTAGTTATAACCTTAGTTTGAAAACTACCAGGAAGTAGCCAGGAATATACCACCTGCTCTACCTACCCCCTCACTCCATCCTCTTGGATAGGCAAAGCAATTTTACTAAGAACAAATGTATTTTTCTTACTTCGAAACCATATTAGTTTTCATACAGAATTATAGGTAGCACACCCACCAGTTTGAAAATTACCCTGGGATTGAGCCATTTTCCTTAAAAAGGAAAGGCCTCTGTCCCCTTCCTGGGGGTTAGTTTATGCTGCTCAGAAAGACAAAGCATGGCTACTGAGAAGGTGCTCAGAAGAAGGCAAGACTGCTCCAAGATCTGCCCTAAACCATCAGAAACAGTAAGCACACTGGGGACTTTTGATTTCTCTACTAAAAGAATAGTTTGCAGTTAAATGAATTTCTGAAGACTGGATGAATAGAGATGGAGGTACCATCAAAAACCAGTCACTTTGAAGACAGAGTGGGACAGTCAGCACCCCATATCATGGCAAATGCACCCCAGGGACCTAACTCATGGCTTGTTAGCTATTAAGAATGCATTATGTGCCTCTCCATAGCTTCTCACTCTCAAACCCATCCTACCGCCCTCAGAAACCAGGTGAATCAGTAAAGCCAGGACCCCCTCAGCAGGATTTTGTAAGGACAAACAACATAAAGAATAAGACTGTTGGGGAGTCACCAAAAGGGCAAAATCCTGGGACTCTTAACTTATTACTCATGTGACTGTTTTTTCTTCCACCCCACACACCCATGTTTTGTTAAGATTGCAGCACCTTACCCTTACCACAAGGAAAAGATGATTCCACAGGGAGAGATGTAACACTTGGCTCCAGACCTAACATCTCTCCATCAGGGTTGAAGTACTTGTATAGGAAACACCTTAGAAAATGTGCCCCAAGCCAATTAAATTTGCTAGACTCTAGCCCACCCTTGCAACCCTTAGCAGACATAAAAGCTAGCTCCTTTCTATATTCTGGGAGCCAGCTTGACAAGTTCTTCATGAATGCTTGTCTCCTTTCTGCTCAAGCAAGAAATCCCAATAGTTCTGTTCCTGTTGCAGTTGTGCCTTTAACCACGCCATCTGATGGAAAGAACAAGAACCCACTGACCCAGGCACAAGATAAACAGATTAAGCTTGGGGATGGGTTTGTAGAGGGCTATGATTTTGAGGATTTTTGATACTGAAGAAACTCCCTGTTTCGGGTTTAGAGTCCTTCCTTCCACAACTTGCAAGGGACAAGGACCTAGTGGCAGATAAGGGAGACAAAAATGTGTTGAGTAGAACTGGCTGTGGTTTCTGATCCTGTGCTTAAAGAAAGCTTGATCTAAGAGTGTTTAAGCTGATAGTGTAACTGCAACTTGATAAGAGGAACTGAGTGAGAGTTTGAGAGCAATCTATCAAGATATCACAGAAGACAGAACTTGGTGGGAGGCACATGTGAGACTCAGGAGCGTCTCTCACGGAAGAGTGAGTGCAAGAAAAGAAATGGGCTTTGGCCTGGGGGAACCATCATCACTGAGGAAGTGCATTTTAAAATGGTCATCTGTCCAGGCATGGTGGTGCATGCCTGTAATGCCAGTGTGACAGAAGGCTGAAAGGTGAGAGGATTGCAAGTTGGAGGCCAGCCTAGCAACTTAATGCAACCCTGTCTAAAAAAAAAAAAAAAGTAAAAAGGGCTGGGGATATAGCTCAGTGGTAGAGCACTCCTAGGTTCAATACCCAGTACAAATAAATAAATAAGCAAGCAAGCATCTGATGGAAGCTCTAAAATTGCTCCAGCAAACACGGCATCTGTTCTTCAAAGTCCACCCAGGAATTCCCGTTGCAGCCCCATTGCTACCCGACAGCTCCCAAACCAGTAGTTCTCAAAGTGGAGTTCCAGTCCAGTAGCATCAGCAGAATAAGATGCAATCTTGCTCCTCACCCCAAACTACTGAATTGGAAGCTCCAAGGGTGGAGCCCAACAAACTGCACTTTAACAAACTATCTAGGTGATTCTGACACATGTTCACATTTGACCTAAACTACACAGAAAACGTCTTTTCTCCTTAAGTGAAGACAAGTGTCTCATGCGTACAGTTATTATTACATATGAGAAATTAACACTTGAAACTGGAAAGCAAAAGGCATACAGTATTGTATAGCTTAGAGAACAATTGGAACCATTAGTGTTGCTGGATTGTGATTGAAATGGGGACACATGGGGGTTTTGAATGTGGATTTAAGGAAAGTATGCAGAAATAGGATAATTACTCCTGTGTGATGGGGGCCCCAATAAAATGTCCTATGATGTAGCAAGAATGCTTTAATCATGCAGTAAGATGGAATCTGGTGCTGCATGAACTTGTCCTGAAGACCAAAGTTAAATGCCTCCCATTCCTCTTTTTCCTGATTTCATTTAACACTGTCCTTGAGAGAAGAGACTAAGCTAATAACTGCAGATATGGTGTAACAAGAGAAATTTCTCAGAATTTATAATTAAAAAATGGTTTCTGTTTTCTGGTCTAGCAGCTTCTCCATCAGTCTGCCTGTATGCCTGCCCCTCACTCTGTATCTGGGCTGGATTAATTCCTTGAGAATGGAGTTGTTTTCCTGATAGAAATTTTCAGCACTGATCAGAGATTTAGTGGGGTTTTTGTCCTGATGCAATTTGGAGACTCAAAGTTATCCAAATTGCATCAGGACAAAAGACACATTTTCTGTTTTCCTTTCTATTTCTCAACCTCAATTTAACACTTAGGTCCTATTTTTTTTTCTCTTTGTCTTTCTACTTTAATAAATACATTTTGGTAGGTATTA